GCGTTACACCTCGTTGTAACTGTGATAGTATATAAAAGTCACGCGATTTGTAACTGGACGTGATTGTGCCTGCAGCTCGCGTGCAGTCCCACGGAGCATCGCTCGACGAGCCGGTCGCATACTGCGTCTCCAAGACTTCCGTGATCGCAATTGTAGCAGCAGCTCTTTTCCCATCGATTATTATGGCATCGGTTTCTTTTAAATATAAAAAAAATTAACAGATTATTCGCGAGGAACATACAACAGTTCGTGCGCACTGGTAGCACGAACGGTCGCGTATCGATTTCCTTTTCGGCCGAACGCGTTGAACGTTATATAGCGAGCGATTCTAATTAAAAAAAATTAGGATGTCTTGCATACCATTTTAACAGTAATTTTACACGTGTTTCGATACACGATACTTATATACACACCATTAAGCCTTAAAGTCTCTCGTTTTGTCAAATGTTGAAACCGGTTGAAAAACTTCACTCTCTCGCTCTCTGTCTCTCTTTTTGCCTAAATGGCATTTCTCGGCCTCTCGCATGCGTGCCTGCGAAATTTTAGAAGAAGTGGTTTGCGTGCGTGTGTGTGTGTGTGTGTGTTTGGACATACCGCGCACGCGGTCTCTTGCGTCTCCGGACTCCTTAATTAGTAGTAACGCTCGATGGATAATAAATTTTCGGCTCGAAACGTTGCCCGTACGTTATAATTTTCGCAGGCGTTTATGTGTGTCGCACGCGGAATATCTATCGCTTAAAAGTGCAAGTGGTTTTCCTGACCTGCACTCGTTGTCGTCGTCGTCGTCGTTGTCCTGTTTTCGTGAGAATTATCCGCGCTCGTACACGTGCATAACGTCGTAATAGCTCTCCCGCGAGAGATTCGCGAGGAATGAAGTATAAAGAGGTAGTAAATAAAAAAAATGTCCCGCCGGCAATAGCAGCAGCAGCAGCAGCAGACAACAGCGTTCGTTATATGTGCACCTAAATCGCGTCGCGTCGTATCGTGTACATGATAATCAGCAGCCCCGGCTTATGAGAGCGACCGGCTTTAATTGCGAGCGCGCGGCGGCGGGTTCAGTCGGTCAACGGGCGACTTCCGCTTTTTGTCTGCGTCTCTGTGTGTGCGCGCTTATAACACATACACTCCAAGTATAACAGCATAGTTCAGGGAGCTATGCAGCGCGCGACTGCAAAGGAAAGTTCCAGTCCTCCTTATGCGGGGCCGCCGCCGCCGGCCGCGAGCCAAATGCATCGCTATATAGACGCGTGTGCACACACGGTCGAAAGTATTATATATACGTTCGCGAAAATTTCCAAGGACGCGTAACAACGCGACGCACGTTTATATTATGCATTAACGTCTCTACCTGTATATTATACAGTGTCGCGTATATGCACCGGACTTTGAATCGCGTAACACGTCTGTGCGTCGGTGATAACGCCACTCGTCGTCGTCGTCGCGCGACCACTCGGTTGCGAAAAAATTCACAGCAGCAGCGGCAGCTTCCGGCTTTCTCGCGCATTTGCAAAATAATTTTTTTCGAGATCGTTTAATCTCGTTCGCGACAGCCACGGTTGAAAATGTATAACCATCGCACAGCGTGGCACGCGGGCATAGAAAGAAAAATAATAAAAATGCATTTCGAGACAGCTCTCGCGAGGATCGGTATGCGCGCAGCTATAGCTCCGAAGCAGTTAGGGCTCAAGGCATCTCGCGCTGTCTCTTTCACTCGCGCCGCGCACGCGAGAGTTGCACATCATCCGATTCACTCTCTCTCTCTCTCTCATACGCGCGCGCGAGAGCTGTATATGCAGCGCGATGCGATTAAGCAATTTCTTACGCGAGCTGTGATTCGTATCGGCGAGTAAGAGTTTATTTTCTTGCAACTGCAGCAGCAGCAGCCGCTGGCCATCACCGTTATGAGCACGTGTCGCAATTGTTTAATGCTCGCGCGATTTTAGGCGGATCTGCGTGAGCTGCCGAGCTTGTCTATATAAGCAAATTCACGTTTCATCCTGAAGACTGTGAGGCCTTAAATCGAATGCAAAAATTTTATTAAGGCAGTCGCAAATAAGCGATTATTTGGTGATGTACGTGTATTACATATATTTTTGTACACCTAATACAAAAAATTACGTTTTCATGCTAAAAAAAAGTGTCTTTAAACATACAATATATCGACTTTATGGCTCAAAACTATGCTCTTACTCTCACCTTGACTTCATTACACCGAAATTGTTGAAATATAAACTGGCTACTTTTGAAAAAAATTAATTTATGGCGTTACGCGCTAAAAACGGAAAATTTATTGATTCATTGAGAATATCAATGTCAGTTAGTTCGAAAACTTACTTTTCTCTATCGATGGAAACTGTTTACCATAGAGGTATAATTAATTTGTCGTAAATTAACTTATCGTAAATTTATCGTAATTCCAAGCCTCGGTTTCCAGGATAAAATGTGGATTCGATCATAAAAGCGCGATACTTCGCATTCCGTGGTGCTTTGCCTTGCATCTTAACGAAATTAATTTAATCACTTAATGGCTATCGCTTGTACATTGAATGTTTATTAATATGAGTTTACGACGTCGAATGGATCTCTGCATGCTCGAGGGTTAAAAGTTAGCCATATAATGCGATAATATTATCCCATTAAACCCTTGAGTCCGCTTGAATTTTTTCCTTGAAATCGTTAGAATAATATCGGTCATCGAGACAATAAAAAGTACCCTCGTACGCATACACAGACAAACGTGTACTCACGTTTCTCAGCGTCTCTGCGCGGCAACAATAGCTCACGGGGGCCTTTTATATTATTACGTGTTACATGCCTGCATACGAAAAGTGTCGCAATACACCACAGTACTATACTCTCCCGGCTTTGGAGCTGAGATTCGATTTAAACTTCCAGGCGTCGTGCCGCGCACATTTTTCCTCTTTATCTCTCTCGTGCCTACAGAGAGTGTCTATATAGCGTCTATAGTGCCCAGCCAGCCCTCCCTGACCCCGTGCCGGTTCTCACTAATCTCCATTATCACTCGAACAATGAATCAAGAAGTCGATGCAGCTGCGTATCATATACTGCACGCCTCGGCTGTAAACTAAAATTTCTGCTTTCGCGCGGCCTATGTATAGGCATGTGCTGTAGTACGGCCCTCGTAGGTGTGACCGGGAGATCAGCAGCGACACTTTTACGCTCGTATTTGTATATATGTTGCGTATGCATGTATAGGGAAAAAATGCACTACACGCGAAGCGGTATTAATCACGTTGAGAACGGGCCGCGATGCCGATGCGAGATTAAACGGTATTGTCTTCCATTCTCAGCTGCGTGGCTTATACACACACACAGCGTATATACCTGCGCGTTTCCTTTGCCGAAGTTTTCGCGCTGCATAAGCTTGTTTTGAAACTCTGTGGAAAAAGGAGTAATCCCTCGCTTATATACCGAATGTAGCATTTTTCATACGTATACGCCCAAGTTCACGCGGAGTTGATTAAAAAAATGGTACACGATGTACCATCACGACCATATAATAATATTTTCGTACGAATCATTGCCGCATCGAAGTGCGCCGCGTCCCGTTCTTGCCTTATAAAAATCATATCAAGCGTGGCCGTGTATTACGCAAGGGTGCACACACACACCGTTTCGCTGTACACATGTAAAAATTCTCTCCTCTACGCGCGCGCGCGTATGGAATATACGTGTGTAGTCGTAATCGCGCACCCGTGTCAAATAATTAATAATAACGATAAGAAATTACAATTTTTTCCCTCTTTCCTCGCTTACCTATCGTATAGAAGCATCCTCGCGCAGTTGAGAAAATTTAACCGCGGCGCGAGATAGCTGCAATCGAGGAAATGTCGAAAGAGCGCGAGGTGCGTCTCGAAATCGCGTGTACACGGAGAAAAATAGTATAAGAAATGTTACTATTTTTTTAGGAAAAATTGCTATAATTTATAGTAAAAGTGTGACATCTCGACCCTATTTGAAATTTTACTATACACCATAGCAAAAATTACTTATATTAGTTTTTACTAAGTATTTTAGTAATATTTCTCACGAGTATGAACAATATTTCTTACGAGCATGAACAATTTTTCTTATGAATATGAATAATTTTTTTAAAGAATATAATTAATTTTTCCAACGAATATTAACAATTTTTCTTACTAAAAAAACCATTTTTTCTAATGTAAAGAGTACTTTTTTCTTTGATAGGAGCAGTTTAAAACCGTGGTTGAAATATCAAAAATGTAGATGTTCGGATTTATATTCAAACTAATATTTTTTGATTTATTAGTTAGAATATTTTACCGAAGTAATTTAGGGAATTTAATTTTAACTTATAACGATTCTGACAAATTTTTATAATTACGATGTTTCACTAATTTACATATATCGCTCGCATTGTACATATTCTAAATCGCATTACATTTATTTACGCTTTAACTTATATCTAGCTACCTATAGTTGGCTATTGCCTCGCATATTTAATACTAAAGGAAATTTGGATCTTCCTTATATATCAATCTTTTTTTTTTTTTTGCCGCATGCGGGTTTCTTATACGCCACCTGCTGGTGAAGATGTTAGGAGGCTATGTAGTAGGTATTGAGATCTGAGATGGCCATAAATAGACATCCAAAATAAACGTGACTCTCGGATCGTTGGTGGCCATGTTTCTATAAATATAGGTATATAATCTATGTAAATTTGACGATCCGAGCAGCTAATACCCGCTTCCATCTCAGATCCCAATAGATTGTTTAATAATGTTCGCGAAACTAAGAAAGGAAGTGCAAGCTTTGATAGAGCACCCCGAACAAATCGTGAGTGAGGCAAGTCTTTTCGTCAGAGAAAGGGAAAAACATGCTGATACTTGGACTTACGGTTTGGAAATGAGGGTAGGAAAATGTATTAATATGCGCGCGCGTGCCTCGATTGTTGAGAAAAACGAGGAGGAAAAAGTCTCAAAATCGAGATGCTTTCAGACGCAAATAAAAAAGTTATATTAATTTTTAAAATAATACGTATTTATTGAATATAACATATTACATATCAATCATCGTAAATGCATACGATACAAACATTAAACCCAAGATTTATTAACATAAACACCATCTTTTATAAAAATGTGATAAGATATAATAGAATTCTCAATATCTGATTTGTCCAATAATACCCACTCGAACGAAGAAAAATCATATAACTTAAAAGCCTGCAAGTGGTGAACAAAAATCGAGTTTTTTAATTTTTTCGAAATGAGTATATATTCAGACTGATATTGTACAATTTCTTGAACGATATTGAAAATTGGCCCATTTTCACAAAATGTTATTAAAACAGTATTTTTTTTAATTCTTTTATCTGCATAATCAATATGCTTCAAAAGTACCAAACGTTCAAGCTCTTTGTTCTTTAACAAGTTCATGAATTGTACATAATTATCAACATCTGAAATACACTCATTTTTTTTTTTAGATTTAAAAAGTTCATAAGACGATTTTTTTGTTAAGAACCTATAATTTAAGTATAATTGATGTCTTACAGCAATCGTCTTATTAATGTTAATTCTACTCGTTGTGCTTTTGGAAATTTGTTTACCTTCTTGGTTTTTGCTTTCGAATCTCAGGCAGCTGAGTTTCCATAAAGGACCAAATAACGACATACATCTCCCATAATGTATTAAAAAGTGGTGCTTTGGTTTCAGATGATTAGGAAATAAATCATTCAACGATGACAAATAATCGTACACAATGATGTCTAGGGCTTTACACCACGATTGATCTATAATAGTACTTGATACCATTGTAACAAGCTCTTTCAAAATTATTAATAATTCCCATACCTCATCATCTTGAGGAACCAAAGGACCAATAATTAAACATATATTCTTAATTAAACATAACATTTCCGAGGAAGACATAATAATGTAACCTTTTTTCACCGAACTCTCCTGAATCTCTGGGGGTTTATTTACGTTATATTTTGGCCCATACTCGTGACTACGAGTCCTTAAATTAAACTTTTCAAGAGTGAACAATTTCTTTACAAATATGTAATGATTTAAAATTAAAGCAACGTCATACCGACACACGCCCTCAAACAAATCGTGCATCACGTCCACACAAATGTTTTCACTCATATGAAAATTATTTATCTTATGAAAAGTACATTTTTCTTTCAAACCAGATTGTTTTGAATCATTCATTAAAAACAAGTTCTCATAATTGTCAACAGTCCGTAAAATACAATCTTTTTCTAAAAATACATCATTTTTTTCGATCTGATTTATTAAGCAATGTTGGCAAAAGATATTCGCTTTGAAGCTCTCAGTCATACCTAAAAGTGAATGGAGTCCAAGATTGTCAGCAATTAAAAGAACGAGTTCAAAGAAAATTGTTATAGTACCTAATGAAGTATCTATAACAATTCCGAAATCGTTCAGATAATTGATTTCGTCAATGAGTTTAGAAAAAGTTACAGAATTAGTAAATATTACTCGGTCTAACGAATTGAATAGAGCAAAAACAAAGATATTTTCTAATTTGGATTGGAAGTGAGGGGGTAAAGAGGGTATACTTATGTAAACTGCTCCTGTCTTGGAAATCCCTTTATGAGAACCTAAAGGATCATTATTTTCATAGTCGTCAAAATAAAATATGAGAGGATAAACTATTTTATTGCCGTGAAACTTCGAGCGATTTTTCCAATAAATCCCTTGAACTAAGTTGCTAACAATTGTGTCATCAGAAATTAAACTTTTCATATACTCATTTGCCTCTTCAAAAACGTTAGGTAGTTCAAAAAACAATTTGAGTACAGATCTGAGAGGAATCATTTGAATATTAACTGGGATATGCATTAATTTCATAGCATTGTTTACTTTGCGGTATTCCCTTCTCTCACCAATTTTATACGACTTAGGGGGTACGAACGTTTTTAATTTCTTAAACACTACTAACCGTTTATGCTCAGAATTTACAGTCGTCAAAGATTTTGAAAGTGTGTCAAACATTTTGTTTAATTCTACTAAATTTTGAGATATTGACTCGGTCAATACGTTTTTTATGTTTTCTTTCAAAATATTTGACAATGTTTTTATAAATCCCTCCGACTTAAGAATTATATCGTTAACACACTTTCTAGGAATATTTTTTAAATTAAATAAACTTGCGACGTATACTGATACAGCTTTTTTCAAGTCACTTTCCCAGGTAATATTTTCATAAGTATCTATATCATCGAAACTTTCATTTTCAACAGACTGAAAATTTTCATAAACGTCGTCGTCGCTCATGTCATTGTCGCTGTCAAGGATTTCTTCTTCTCTCTGAACATTGTGTTGAAAATTTTGGTCAGTAAAAAACTGTTCAGGAGGAGGGCTTTGAGTTCTGACAGGGACAACAATGTGCTTATTCCCTACGTGTTTTTTTAACGAATTCAACAGTTTATAAACGCGATTACAATTTTCAAACATACAACTATAACTCTGCAAATCCTTATGAAATATTACAATGTGATCATAAAGTTCGCTCGAGTTTTCATACTCTAAAAAACAATTTTTACACGTAATCATTTTTAAATATTGTCTTGCAAAATTTTAATAAGACCGAAATAAGTTTTCATCTGTACGGTAACAACCTTTTCTTCCTTAATATTTAACAAAACTTGTTGTAAGAACTTCCAAATTACTTGCGTATTTTCGGGGTACTCACAGTCTAAACTGAAAAATATTTTCAAAGCAACTACAACTGTTTCTAAACAGTTACTTAACTCGTACAACTGATCATTCACAGCTATATGGTAGGACTCTATACTTGTAAGATTTCTGCCCACCGCTATTATAAGAGGTTGAAACGTCTCTTTTGCAATCTGTAGACGTTTTTTTAATTCTAGTATCTTGGGCTCTACTTCAGCATCACTCTGAAAAAGTAAAAACAAAATCATATATTTCTAAAATTCATTACAATTAACACCATTTTATACAATGGCGCAGTAATAAAGAGTATCAAATGATGTGATTACCGAAAGGCAACAATTGCTGACTGAAAAAGATTCGTAAAGAGAGAGCACAAGGAAAATGAAATGAGCGGAAGAAAAAATGACAGAAAGATCTCTAACTATGAATTCGATTAGATTTTGATGTGTTGCAGCTGTATATGTATTTAATATAATATTATGCATTACGTGGACTACCCTCTAGAAGGGGTACGTTATTTGCTCGAAAAGATGATTTGAAATAAGACTCGAAAAAAATGTTATTCATAATATTCCAATACACGGCTTAGGCTCAATATATTGCTACAGTACATGCTACTTTCGACGACGATTCATTCATAGAACTTGTGAAGGCCGCGAGTATAAAAAGTTCAATCTTTATATAATTGAACAATGCGAGTATTTTATATTTTATAGTTTTCCAAGCCCAAGCGACTTGCAATTGAGCACGAGAGTGACAAAAGATATATTAATTGTTGTTGTTTTGAAGACGCATAAATGTATCTTGTATTTCATTTGTACTTGATACATCGTAGTAGCGCTAGTAGAAAGGTTCTCGAACTACCTTCGTTTGCACACATTTTCAAATGAGAATTCATTACCTCAACATGCAAAATAAATGATTCTCTTCTTTCCTCTAGAGATTTTTTCGATGATGCTTGATTAACAATTTCTTGATTTTCACTCGTTGCTTTTCTCTTTCTTCCTCTAGATTTTGGTGGAAGCAAGTGTACTAATAAGTACATAAGCAAAAAATCTTGTTTCTCTAAAAAACAGAATTACATGTATTTTTATGTTGAAAGAATAAAATAATAGATTTTTTAACGTAATGTTAAAATCAATTGTAAGAACCGAAAAAAATGTTACCGTTGCTCAGATCACCAGATTTCAAACTATTAATAAGTCCCAATTCTTCTGCATTTTTAATTTTGTGCATATCAAATTGGTTCATCAATAAATCTCTAATCCTCTTCCATTCGCTATAATCAATAGGCGTAACATTCGTATACAATAGAGAAAAATCTAATTCTAGCTAAAACAAAAATAATAAAATAGTTACAATAAAAAAAAATAAATGGAATCAGAGAATATATATATTTAAAATTTCAAGTACCAGTTCCTTTCCTTTTTGTGTAGACAAGCACTTGAATTTCTCAAAGTAGGCATGAACTGTGAATTCTGTATTTTTCAGAAATAGTTGTCGTCTAGCGACAGAAGTCTCTTGCCAGTATTGTTCCACCTTAGTCCATGGGTCAATATTTTCACTCAACCAATCGATACGTTCTTCCTCTATAATCAAGAATATTAATTCAGAAAAGATGATAACAAAATGAAAGATTATTATGAAAACAAAATGTTTTCATTCTTAGTGTTTTTAAGTACCACTATTTGAAATAATAATCTGGTCCTCATCGATGATTTCTTTTTGTGCTAGAATATCATCAGCTTTCATAGTATCCTTTTTGTAACAAAAATGAGTCCATAGTGTCCCAGATGTGTTGATTACTGTTTTACCAGATTTTTTGTATGGAGAGTAGTACACTTCAGCACTTTCGTATTTGAATATTCTGTCAATTTCACTGGCAAGGGTGGTGAATCTTTCTGTTGTGATTCTATACAAAATTTTGAATTAATAGATAAAAATTAATGTACATAGGTTAAACTTGCACTTTTGCAACTTACACAAATTTTTCTAGTATTTGGTCTGCAGAGATCTTTCGAAGAGCAAGGTCTTTTTCTCTTTTAATGACCAATCGTGCAAGTCTGCATCTGATATTCTTTGGGAGAGGTTTTCGCTGAGCAGAGAACTTTTCGTACTGTTTGATGATCGCTTTGCCTTCAGATGTGCTTTTTATGTACTCTTCTAGCCCCTGTAAATAATATACACAAATGTACTTATAAACACTGACACTCAACACTATACGTATAATTCACAATAAAAAACTACATTTGCTGTACATACGGTATTAATGTGTTGTGGTTCTATACGTGGTTCATGAACACCTGGTACTGTAGCAACATTTTCTTTTCCACCCTTGTCTAAATCCCGTGTGTTCTGTTTTCTTCTCTGTGATGACTCGTCATTCAAAGTTACTTCAACGTTGCTAGTCTCAAGCTCTGGATTGAGCTGTGGGTTACAGCTTGAAGTTGACGGCTAGAAAACCACAAAAATCAATTAGTATCTAATAAATGCAACACACACAGAATGAAAAATTACTATAATTGCACAGAAACATAGATGTGATATACCTGTGAACTGGCCATTTCACCTGTTTTTCATAAATGATCAAAAACCCCTGACACCAATATATCTATATATGTTTATTACCAATTGTGATTAGTATGAATAAAATGATTTTACATTAACTATGTTAAACTTAAATATATGTTAAATGAATATGATCGATACTTACCAGAATAACAATTGAGATTAGGCGGTGTCTGGGACCTGCAGAGATGGTATAACCTCAATTTTGATCTCTGACGATAATCTTGGCCTCTCTCGATTTTGTTCTCAGATTAAATACCGCTTTAATCAGTGAAACGATGATCATAGGTAAACACACCAAAAATTTCAATTCAGGATCAAAAATATAGTCGAGTCAAGCAAAAACGTTTCCTTGAGACTAGTCGAGTTTTTATGTAACTTCAAGGACTCGTATTACGTAGGGGTTACGTTTTTGCACGTATGCGCGGGGCACACACTGAGTGGTCTATTTCGCGTTCGCGCTCCTAGCGTCAGTTGATGTAAACTGTTCGAATCGCTTATCTATAGAATTTTTACTATAGTAGCTATGAATATTTACTACAATAATTTCAACTTTCATTCTTATTCTAATAAAATTTCCCAAACATATATTAAATATTAATAAAATAAGGATTAAATTATGTAATAGATGAAATTTTACTATATTTTTTAGCAATAATTTAATAAAATTGTTGTAAAAATTATTTTTATAAAAACAGAAATCATCACAACGCTTAGATGTCCCACGAGTACTAAGCATTATAGTAATTTTTCTTCTAATAATAAGAATACTTATTATACATTTTTCTCCGTGTATGTATGCGCCGCATCGTTGTCGTACGTATATACGTACAATAATAACGTCGCGCTGAAGCAGCAGCAGCAGCAGTAATGTCGGTGGTGGCGGTGCATTTTCTATTCGCATAAAGAAAAATTCTTCCTCGCTTGCGCGCGCGCGCGCCCGCGTGTATCCGCAATCGCGCTATGAAAAAATCGTTTTTTTTTTCAATTACTATCGCGAGGGTATCGTATATCGCGCGCTGGAAAAATGAAGCAATTTTCGAGAGGCGTGTGTATGCGCGTTTAATCCCGCGCGCGCGCCTTTTTTTTCTATCAAATTCTCGTTCATAAAGGGATAATCGCTCTTGTCTAATGCTCTCCGTGCTCTCTCAGGCGGGTATTTATCCACGCGCGAATTGCGTACGGTAATGAAATCCAGCACTAATACCCGTGACGCGCGCGCGCGCACGCGTGTGTTTATATGCCTCTCTAAGTAATTATTATAAGGGTTGCGAAAAGCGCATAACTCAATCATTTCTCTATTGCTCTCGCGGAGATCTCTCTCTCTCTCTCTCCACTCGGGTGTAAATACATACGTATAAGTACATACCCGCGTTGCGGATCAATAAACATCAAGGGCAAATACGCGCCTGATAATATATGAGATATTCAAATGATACGTTGCGCAAACCACTGTATATACTATACGCGCGCCGCTGCCGCGCGACTTGGTAACGGCAAAAAAAAAAGTTGAAAAAAAAGGAAAAGAAAAAAAAACATCGCGCAGTGTTTACTCGGATGGATGGAGTGGTACTGCGTGCATTACGAGGCATGTAATAGCTGCCACATCTATAGGTGTATGGTGGTTGCGAAATGATAACAGGTGTTTTTATCTTAGGTAAAAAATAAATAATATGGTATTTTATTCACAATTTACATGTACAAAGACTTGTTGTTTTTTTTTATATTGCCGCCGTTATCGATAATAACAATTAACGGCCTCTAATCGATGGTTACATGTCTCTCGAGCTGTATTACTCTCTTGGTATAAAAAAAAAAATTAAGTTAAAAACGCGATCGGCTCCGCATAAAGGAGCGCGTACCGCGTTCAACGTCATCCGTATAATATAAAGAAAATTAGTTCGCGTCGCGGGACAACTCGAGTTAATTATTTACTTTCTTCTTTCTTTCATTTTTTTTGTTCATAGTTCAAGTTAAACGGAAAAATTAATCGAGATAGAGATCTTCGGTCCTGGTAATTTTTTTACTTTGAGTGAGTTTTATTTCTTAATAGTGGAGTCCGTGATGTCCGTGTCCCAATTCCAGGAGACCACCGTGATGTCCATGATAGTCGTGATGACCATGATGATGCTCCTTAACGTAGACGGGGTAGGGCTCCTTGACGACGACCGGCACTTTGACTGGGTACGGGACTGGCTTGTGCACCTCGACGGGCACGTGGACTGGTACTTTTACCTCGTAGGGTACTTTCACCGGCACCTGTGCGTGTGTGTGAGAGAGAATGTGGCAGTGAGATAACGCGCGTCGATTAATTACGCTTGCGTGGCGCGTGCATAATTTATCATGTCCTGCACACACAAAAGAAAAAAAAATGAACAAATCGATCACTCACCTTAACGGCCACCTTGACGGGATAGGGCACGTGCTTCTCCACCGTGACGGGGATGTGCTTCTCGTGGACGACCGGGTAGGGCTGGGGCACGTGCACGGGCACGGGACGGTCGACGAGCACCTTGACGGGCACTTTGACCGGGTAGGGCACGTGCTTCTCGTGGATGACCGGGTAGGGCTGGAGCACGGGCACGTGCTTGGTCACGACGTGGGTCTTGACGTGGTGCTGCTCGTGAATGATCGGCGCGTGATGATGGAGATCGAGACCGTGATGCGAGTCGTAGCCGTGATCCACCAGACCGTAGCTGTGGTAGTCACCGTAGAGGTGGCCCAGGCCGCGCTTGGTCTTCTCCTCGGACTTCTTGGGCTCGTCGCTGGACGCGGCCGCGACCGTGTCGTCCTTCTTCTCGGCGGCTGCGGCGGGCTCCGCGGCCTTCTCGGCCTCGGCCGCCAGCGTGAACGCCAGCAGGCTCAGGAATAACAGGGCCTGCAAAAGATTTTGCCGGATAGAGAGAAGAGAGAGGTGGCGGGTAACACAAATTTTGTTTTTTTTTGTTTTGACGAAAAAAAAAAAGCAGTTTTGCTGTTTCGAGCAAGAATCGAGTTTACGGTCACTGATAATAATGATACTACGGCACACTTAAATCTCCGGGTCATTGCGACGAATGCGCATGATTACTCACTTTCAATTTGCCGTCCATGCTTGTGGGCTGGCAGAGCTGAGTTTTAGAGAGTAACGCGTACTGAGTCCTAGCGAGCGTTTACCCTCGGCTTTTATAGTCTAGGAGGAGATAGTTGTATATATAAGGCGAGAGGCGAGCAGCAGCAGTCACGGTGTGTGTACTGCAGAGTGGGCATGTTGTGTGTATACATACGTATCTCCTTCGTGCGTGTGTACGTACGTGTCTGTTGCGCGGGCTACCCGCGTGTGTGTGTGTGCGAGTGCACATTATGCCGATTATTGTTATGATGACGATGATGATGACGACCGAGACGTAGCCGCGATGACCATCGCAACTCGTTGCAAACGCCCCCGTGTGAGAGAAAGAGAGAGAGAGAGAGATCCCACCGCCGCCGCTGCACTGACTTTTCTCTTTCGTCCTTGGCCCTTGCAGCGTCGCTATGCCGCCACCACTGCTGCTGCTACGTTGCAGCGATTTCGCTTGGCAATTCTAATTATTGTGTGTTGGATCGTGTATATGGTGTATACGTACACACACATAGAATCTCGCGGTGTACGTGTGTGTATGCGAATGACGGTCATCATCATCATCATCATGATCGCCGCGATCATCGTCATTGTGCGCAAATTGTTTTACACGATTTCCATCGCGCGTTTCGACATCATCGCCACGGCTCCGCGAAGGTAACGACGAAAAATTTATATGCGGAGAGAGAGATATATGAACAATGGCGAAAAGTTCGGAAAATTATTTAATCTCTCGTGTATAAAAATCGATGCACTCGGCGGGGATCCTCCCTCCTCCTCCTCCTCCTCTTCGCCCTCGAACCATCATAAAACGTATACGCGTTCGTTGAGCGCAGCTCCGAAACGGGGGGTGGTGATGTAGTATATAGGGACGCGACGGGCCATCATGGTTTTTCACGCGCGAGCACGAACGACGTGTGTGCAATAGTTTAAAAAGATATAATCGATACGACGTGAAACATGTATACGTACGAATCGAGCCACGCGTATTGTACCAGCGATCGGCATTTTTTATTAGCATCGTGTCCAATTAATTTGTTCGTTCGATCGTGCGTGCATCGCTTACGTGTATATGCACACACACATACTTACACAAAACAAACAGCACGCGCGATAACGCGTATCTCTGTTACGCCGTTGCTCCTCCGTATATACTGCACTCCTCTCCAATTATAGCATCCTTTTCTAAAACAATGAGCTCGCTCGTTCGAGCGCAAAGTATCGGTGTGTGTGTGCGTGTATCGTGTTCCACCTGCGCGCGGGCCCTTGTTTTTGCGCCTTTCTTTTTGTTTAAACTTTTTGTTTTCGTTTTCGCAAAAACTCGATATGCGATACAAGTATAATAAAGAGTAACGCAGTACATCCCAAACGTGCGATGCGCCAATTAATTTGCAGGTCGTTGTAAAATCTTGACTGAATTTTACTTTTCATTGTGTTCAGCGCGTTATAATTACTTATCGATGCATCGTACGCAAATTAGTCAACTACATCGATTATTTTTCGATTCGACTGATATTAAACTGCAAAGTTCATGATGCTCCTTTTCTCTCTTGCCGATCTCGTATAAATGCATAATATTTTCTCTCGATCGGAAGAATTTCGACTGTACGAAGCATCGAATGTGCTTGGCTGTCTGCTTCGTGCCCGCTGTGCACAATTAGCGATTATTTACAGACGCGCGCGCAAAAAGCTGTATGCATAGTGACAATCGATCGCTCATTTGGAAGCAAATTTCGAACGAAACTAGGTCGATTAAACAGAAACCACAGATAAAGAGAGAGAGAGAGAAAGAGACAGCCGCGCACGCGCACCGGGCCTTTTAAATACCTTTGCCAGCTCGAGTCTACAAAATTATCTGCGCTTTTGTTTATTGACTGATGAATATTTAAATTGCTATTGCCGGCGGGAAAATAAAGCGCAAAAACGAACGGCTCGAAATGAGAATTATGAAGAGGAGCAGCGAGATTATATGTGTATTCGCGCGTTATGATTTTTCTCTCTCTATCTCCGCGTGGCATATATAGGTAATATCGACGCGATTGATTACTTAATGGAATAATTAATTGTCACGCGCTTGTGTTTACGTGCCTGGCGCTGTGTCTTGCTGCCCGGTGCACCACCTGCAGCAGCAGCAGGAGAAGAAAAATGACAAAAATGCAACGACCTCTAATCCCATTGCTCTATACGAGCGCGGCGAGGAAAAACCAGATACATATGTGTTGCGGAGCAAAAACACGATCGACTCGGTCGTTAAGGATCACGACGAAGCAAAAGCAGCAGCCACATGTGTATACGTGAATAAAGTGTCGTCGTCGTCGTAGTCGTCGTAGTCGTCGCGGCTGCTTGCGTAAAATCGTTTGATTGGCAAATATATATACGTGTGACTGACTACGGACAGCTCGTATATATACGCGCAGCAGCGTATCGGAGGAATTTCGATTGTCATTGAGCGTCGTCGCTATGTATACTATACGCGAGAGCTCGAGCGCGAATTAACGCAAGAATCTTCGCGAATCGTTTTCGTTAGCTTGACCCACATACTCGTTTTAGGCAAAGGTTGTTCATATTACAGTGCACAACGCCATACGACTGCAGCAGCAGCAGCAACTCTATGAGCGAGCGCGATAAATAGCGCCGATCGTTTCTCTCGGCCATTTTACATTTTCTTACGCGCGCCTTGTACTACATACCTAGATGTGCGTATTATGGCGCGCACGTTTTTGACACTTTTCGGAATCGATCTAGGCGGCGGCGACGTCGATATAAACTACTTTTCTCCTGACCGATTCCATATAGGATCGCTCGAATCGGGCGCGACTCGAAAACGACTCTTTTTTTCTCTCCATTCGACCCTCCCTTTTCGATAATGCAGTCGCGAGACTACGTGTTCTTTTTTGTCGCTCCTAGGTCTTTTTTGACCAAACACAGCATGAGCAGCAGCTCGATCGAGCTCGGGTATTTCTATATAAAATATTTTCCAATCGGCTCGACGCGCGTATAATAATTATTAAATGTTACTTGTAATTCGATAATGAGCGTCGAGATTTTGCGCGGCGGCTGGCTTTACGGCGGGCTGCGTTTTCAGTTTCACGTCCGATTGAATCTCATTATACGTATACGCAGAGAAAGAGAGAGAGCAATTATAATTGCGCGCGCCGATGTGTTTTTGCCAATTATTTCGGAGATGATATTCGCGCGCGAATAACAAAGAGCACAAAGCGAGGCATACGTACGTACTATGGGTTAACAAATATTTATTTAAACGTCGCTGCGATCCTTTTAACTTTGTAACAAATCCACGCGTTATTGTAACGTTACAATCGAGAATGCGTGCACGTGTGCGTGGGCCATTGAACTTTTAGAAATTGTTGTTTACTCTCGCGTCATTAAATTTCCGCGCTCGCAGCCCAGCCGAGTCGCACATATATAAATCTTCGTTCATGCAGAAGGTCATATCAGAAAATGTGTGCGTTTCGTCTTGTTGCGTGCGCTCGCGTAACCCCCGCGCGTGTGATCGATTAAAGAGGATTATACATTTGCAGCGGATCGAGCGCTCGCAGCAGTCCTGAAGAGTGCCTAGATCGTGGATAAACGTTCGACCCAGTTAAGAGTGACCTTTTGCCAAATCTCGACCACGCGGTCACGAGAGAGCGAAACAAAGCTAAGAAAACAAGAGGAGAAAATTTATGCGCGATCGGTCGAGCGCGCGAGCCGAGGATGTACTATGTAATAATCTATATACATTGCAGCCGCGCACTGCGCTATGCATGTGTAACTTGATATATTATTTTGATTCACGCGCGTCTCACCGATGATTTATTTACTCTCACTCTCTATATCTCTCTATGTATGCGCGCGAGTGGCACGTCACAGCAGTACATACACACACATGCACGAATTGTGCAATTGTCCCATTACGTAAGGCACTTGTACGTATAATATACATGTGCACCGTAAACTTATAATACGGCAGGTATACGTTTATACAGAGAGTCTCGCGAGTCTCTCTCTCTCTCTCGCGGTAATCGAATAAAACACTTCCGATTTGCAGATAAAGCGCATAAATACGCGAATACGAGGCGTCATCGTCGTCGTCTCTATACACGCGTAAGCGTGTCGAGAAACACGCGCAGCAGCAAACTCGCGGGATATTTTACAGTTGCAGTATTATACGTACTACGATCGTTTGTGCTATGCCGCGCGCGGTCGAAAGCTGATACTGCCTACTTTGAGAAAGTCGCGCTTATACACACACACATACACGCACATAATGCGCCAAGTGTGCTCCATCAAATATTATACGTACTGCTCTCGTTGGGCCTCCTTTTCTTATGTAAAGGAGACATAGTTGCGGAGCACACACACACACGCATAATACATGCATATATATATTTTATACGTACGAAGTACTTCCGATACGCTTTATGAATAATTTTATACGCGGATATGATATTTGTCCATATCTACGATATCTGCTATCTAGCTTTCGCCGCCGCGCTCGCGTATCTGAATTAGCTCGGAGTGACTCGACGCGATATGATATTTCGACTTGTGTCGTTCCTTGGAAGGTAAGCCGAGTATTACCCGCGCGGGATGACTTTAATATCGCGCGCAGAATTTACCAGGAAAATTAAGGGTGAAATTACAGCTCTATATTATACGCGCGTTTCTTCATACACATATAACCAATGAGTGCGGGGGCGGGGGGGATCGCGCCGAGCTTTGAAAGTTCCCAATGCGCTGCGCGTATAAGTATAATACACAGAAAACTTACGTATAACTATGCTGTACGCGGAGTTACGCGATTCGAGATCATTCGACACTGAAACATTTTAGTTTACGATTTTTCATGATAATCTCTCCGCGCGTGTGCATAATAATATAATGTATAAAACTTTCACGCGCGCGCGTAGTTGAATTTGAGTTAATTTAATTTATTATACATTATATACACGTGTTCCACCGTATATATACGTGCAATAAGTTTTCATGTATATTATGTTCTCGCGCGTTATATTATTAGATAATCAGCCTGTGTCAAAAGGTTTCGTCCACGCGCGCACATTTCGACAGTATATATGTTTGAAACTCCCGCGTGCGGT